CGGTTCCCCCACCCAGGGCAGCGTTTCGTGGCCCCATAGGGAGCTCCACCGAAGGCCCCAGTGGGGGTGTCCGCATGCGGTTCCCCCACCCAGGGCAGCGTTTCGTAGCCCCATGGGGAGCTCCACCGAAGGCCCCAGTGGGGGTGTCCACATGCGGTTCCCCCACCCAGGGCAGCGTTTCGTAGCCCCATAGGGAGCTCCACCGAAGGCCCCAGTGGGGGTGTCCACATGCGGTTCCCCCACCCAGGGCAGCGTTTCGTAGCCCCATAGGGAGCTCCACCGTAGGCCCCAGTGGGGGTGTCCACATGCGGTTCCCCCACCCATGGGCAGCGTTTCGTAGCCCCATAGGGAGCTCCACCGAAGGCCCCAGTGGGGGTGTCCACATGCGGTTCCCCCACCCAGGGCAGCGTTTTGTAGCCCCATAGGGAGCTCCACCGAAGGCCCCAGTGGGGGTGTCCACATGCGGTTCCCCCACCCAGGGCAACGTTTCGTGGCCCCATAGGGAGCTCCACCGTAGGCCCCAGTGGGGCTGCCGCATGCGGTCCCCCCCCACACAAGGGCAGCGTTTCGTAGCCCCATAGGGAGCTCCACCGAAGGCCCCAGTTGGGGTGCCCGCGTGCGGTTCCCCCACCCAGGGCAGCGTTTCGTGGCCCCATAGGGAGCTCCACCGAAGGCCCCAGTGGGGGTGCCCGCATGCGGTTCCCCCACCCAGGGCAGCGTTTTCGTAGCCCCATAGGGAGCTCCACCGAAGGCCCCAGTGGGGGTATTCGCATGCGTCTCCCCTACCCAGAGGTAGCGCCACCGAAAACGATATTCATATTTGCAATATTCACAACTGCATATGGTTGGGTCCTTCGCCAGGCTAATTTCCTTTTTTTTATAAGCCAACAGCGCCCTCCAGGGCAGTTTAGGCTTTTGCAATCACCCTCCAAAGCGCGCAGCGACACCAACCGAATGTTCATTGCTAGCGCACCTGAGACGCCTCCGCAAGGCACCCGAAAACCACCCCGAATTCGTCGTGCTCGAATTTTTGAAGAAGCGCATACCATCCTGTGGTGTTGGGTCCTCGTTTTGAAGAAACGGTCCCCGCGTTCTCCCCTCCTCCTCCTCCTCCTCCTCCTCTGCCCCCTCCTCCTCTCCACCGTCCGCATGCATCCCGCACACCCAGTACAGCGTTTCGTGGCCCCATAAAGAGCTCCGCCGAAGGCCCCAGCGCTGCCGCCCGCATGCGTCGCGCACGCCCACTTCGGCACACCCTTCACACGTTTCGTGGCCCCATAGGGAGCTCCGCCGAAAGCCCCGGTGCTGCCGCCCGCATGCGTCACGCACACCCAATTCGGCACACCCCTCACACGTTTCGTGGCCCCATAGGAAGTTCCACCGAGGGCCCCATTGGCTGCGTTCGCATGGCGGCACCGCGCCCAATTCGGCACACCCCTCACACGCTTCGTGGCCCCATAGGGAGTTCCACCGAGGGCCCCAGCGGCTGCGTTCGCATGGCGGCACCGCGCCAATTTCGGCACACCCCTCACACGCTTCGTCGTGGCCCCATAGGGAGCTCCACCGAAGGCCCCAGTGGCTGCGTTCGCATGGCGGCACCGCACCCATTTCGGCACACCCCTCACACGTTTCGAGGCCCGTGAGGGAGCTCCACCGAGGGCCCCAATGGCTGCGTTCGCATGGCGGCACCGTGCCCATTTCGGCACACCCCTCACACGTTTCGTGGCCCCATAAGGAAGCTCCACCGAGGGCTCCAGTGGCTGCGTTCGCTTGGCGGCACCGCACCGGCGCACCCCTCACACGTTTCGTGGTGGCCCCATAGGAAGCTCTACCGAAGGCCCCATGCTGTTCGCATGGCGGCCGCAGCGCCCATTTCGGCACACCCCTCACACGTTTCGTGGCCCCTGAGGGAACTCCACCGAGGGCCCCAGTGGCTGCGTTCGCATGGCGGCACCGCGCCCATTTCGGCACACCCCTCACACGTTTCGTGGCCCTATAGGGAGCCCCACCGAGGGCTCCAATGGCTGCGTTCGCATGGCGGCACCGCGCCCATTTCGGCACACCCCTCACCCGGTTCGTGGCCCCATAGGGAGCTCCACCGAGGGCCCCAGTGGCTGCGTTCGCATGGCGGCATCGCGCCCATTTCGGCACACCCCTCACACGTTTCGTGGCCCCTGAGGAAGCTCCACCGAGGGCTCCAATGGCTGCGTTCGCATGGCGGCACCGCGCCCATTTCGGCACACCCCTCACACGTTTCGTGGCCCCATAGGGAGCTCCACCGAGGGCTCCAGTGGCTGCGTTCGCATGGCGGCACCGCGCCCATTTCGGCACACCCCTCACACGTTTCGTGGCGCCATAGGGAGCTCCACCGGGGGCCCCAGTGGCTGCGTTCGCATGGCGGCACCGCGCCAATTTCGGCACACCCCTCACACGTTTCGTGGCCCCATAGGGAACTCCACCGAGGGCCCCAGTGGCTGCGTTCGCATGGCGGCACCGCGCCAATTTCGGCACACCCCTCACCCGGTTCGTGGCCCCATAGGGAACTCCACCGATGGCCCCAGTGGCTGCGTTCGCATTGCGGCACCGCGCCCATTTCGGCACACCCCTCACACGTTTCGTGCCCCCTTAGGGAGTTCCCTCTCATTCGTTAAACCTGCTTTGCGGTATTCGTAACTGCATATGGTTGGGTCCATCGCCCGGATAATTTTGTTGGTTCTCCTGGTTTCTCACCCTCCTCCGTTGCTAACAGGGCAACCGCACGCCCAGGGGCAAAAACAGAACACCAACAAAAGCAAGACATCCAACAACAAACAATTCACAAACCAACAGAAATAATAACCAAGACAGAACATCAACCAAACCTTTGAACACCAATCGTTCTTTCAATGTGCTCATTCAGGAGCCAAAGAGAACCAATGTATTTCATTGATTTGAGCTTGGCAAATTTTGAACACCAATGGTTGCTCAATGTTTCCTATTGAAAACTAGTGAAAACCATTGGTTTCTTTTGTTTTTTTCTGCCTTGGTTATTAATTTTGTTGGTTTTCGCTTGGTTTTGGTTGGATTTAATGTTTTTGTTGGTTTTTCTGGTTTCTCACCCTCTTCCGTTGCTAACAGGGCAACCGCAACCGTGGGCGAGAGGCGCAGGCTCAGGTGTGCCGTCCAAGTTTTTACAGGGAGTCGGAAGAAGGAGCGACAGCAGGTTTATGGGGGCCACATGCGAACCCTAATCCTACCCCCCACGATTTCTGAGGGGGAGGGTTCACATATGGTCCCCTAAGGTTCTGAAGCTTCTGTGCTGGGCTCGGCCAATTCGCCCTTCTGTCAGTGGCTCTCTGCTGTGCAGGGCTTCTGATACTTCTGTGCGCAGCTCGCGCCAATCTGCATCATTTTCATCAGCTGTCCGTTGTCCAGGGCTTCTGAGACTTCTGTGCAAGGCTCGCGCCAACTAGCACCACTGTCAGGCTGTCTGTTTTACAGGGCTTCTGAGACTTCTGTGCTTGGCTTGTGCCACTTTGCGCCACTTTCAGTGGCTGCCCAGCAAAAACATAAGATCGCCCAAGAGGGCCCCAGCGCGGCCCCATGAGGGGCCCAAGAGGGGGAACACGAACATACAAGTCGAGCTTTCCGCCCCACGAAACCCCCAGAGGGCCCAAGAGGCCCCCAACAGAGCCCAAGCGCCCCCGAGAGGTCTCCTAGAGTCCCCACGAGGCCCCAACTATGCCCGAAACGACGCCCCAAGAACACCCCAAACTGCCCCCAAGAGGCCTCCAAACTTGCCTTCAAGAGGCCCCCGGGAAGCCTCCCACGAATTCCAAACGAACTTCCAAAAGGCCTTTAACCCACAACCCAAGTACGGTGGCGGGATGGACCGAAAGCCGCTGGACGGCCTCCAGACGGCCCCAGGGGCCCCAGGATACCCAAGAGGTTTCCCAGAGGTCTCCCAAGAGAACTCGGAGAGGCCAAACCACATATATGTTCCACAGGTGTTTGAGCAATCTTGGCGGTTCCGCATGTTGCGCTTTCCGACGCTGCAACACGCCCCAAGAGGCTCCGAGGATCGCCCCAGGACGGCCTCATGGGCTTCAAAAGCGCCGAAGAGACGTGGAAGGACGCTCCAAGAGACGTCCAAGGGGGCTCCAAGACGGCTCAGAAGCGCTCCAAGAGAGCCCAGGACCGCACAAGAGCGTTCCAAGATGGCCCAACATGGTTCCAAGACAGCCCCAGAGGGCCTAAAGAAGACCGAGAGGCCACCGACTACTAGTACCAGTACTGGTACTAGTTCTCGTACTAGTACTCGTCGATTACTGCGAATACTAGTACTAGTACTAGTTTCAGTACTAGTACTGGTTCTCGTACTCGTACTTGTGGTAGTCGTAGTAGTAGTAGTCGTAGTAGTAGTGGTAGTGGTGGTGGTAGTAGTAGTAGTAGTAGTAGTAGTAGTAGTCGTAGTAGTAGTAGTAGTAGTAGTAGTAGTAGTAGTAGTAGTCGTAGTAGTAGTAGTAGTAGTAGTAGTAGTAGTAGTAGTAGTGGTAGTCGTAGTCCTACGGCTACTACCACTACGATTAGTACTACGGCTACTACTATTACTACGACTACCACTACCATCACGGCTACTACTACTTCTATTTCACTACTACTACTACTGCTACTACTACTGCTACTACTACTAGTACTAGTACTAGTACTACTACTACTACTACTACTACTACTTCTACTAGTGCAAGTGCTAGTGCTAACTGTAGTAGTCGTGCTGGTAGGTGTAGTCGTAGTAGTGGTAGTAGTAGTAGTAGTAGTAGTAGTAGTAGTAGTAGTAGTAGTAGTAGTAGGAGTAGAAGTAGTAGTAGTAGTAGTAGTAGTCGTAGTAGTCAGTAGTAGTAGTAGTCATAGGCCGTACGCGTAAAGCTAAGCCGTAGTAACATGCGTAGATACTAGTATTTGGCAATCGGTGGTCGGTAGTAGTAGTAGTTTATAAGTAAGTAGTAAGTAAGTAGTAGTGATAGTAGTATTCTAACAGTAGTAGTCTGGTAGTAGTAGTAGTAGAAGTGGTAGTAGTATAGTAGTAGTAGTAGTTAGTAGTAGTATCGATATAGTAATAGTGAACAGTATAGTAGTAGTAGTAAAGTAGTAAGTATAGGTAGTAGTATAGTAGTAGTAGAAGTAGTAGTAAAAAGTTTAGTAGTAAGTAGTAAGTAGTATAATAGTAGTAGTAGTAGTAGTAGTAGTAGTCGTAGTAGTAGTCGTAGTAGTAGTAGTAGTAGTAGTAGTAGTAGTAGTAGTAGTAGTAGTAGTAGTATTACTAGTGATATTATTGTGCGTATGCGGAGTAGTAGTAGCAGTCGTAGTAGTAGTCGTAGCAGTAGTAGTAGTAGTAGTAGTAGTAGTAGTAGTCGTCGTAGTCGCAGTCGTACCATTATTATTATTAGTATTAGTAGTAGCAGTAGTCGTCGTAGAAGTAGTAGGAGTAGTAGTAATCGTAGTAGTGTTCTTCGCATTATCACTGCCACTACCACGATTATTACTAGTAGCAGCACTAGCACTACTACGCCTACGACTATTACTATTATTACTTCTACTACCACTACTACCTCGTTCTACAACGATTACTAATGCGACTACTACTACTACTACTACTACTACTACTTCTACTACTACTACTACTACTGCTACTACTACTACTACGGCTACTAGCACCACTAGGATCACTACCACTACCACCTTTGCAACTGCTACTATTCGTAGTACCATTGTCACTACTTCTGCTACCAGTGCTATTAGTATTGCTACTACCACTTTTAATACTGCTACTACCACTGCTACCACCGCTGCTACTACTTCTACTACGACCCTTACCACCACCACCACCACCACCACCACCACCACCACCACCACTACTACTACTACTACTACTACTACTGCTGCTAACTCACTGCTTACTACTAACTACTACTACTACTACTACTACTACTACCTCTACACTAACTACTAACTACATAACTACTACTTACTAACTACTAACTACTAACTAACTACTACTACAACTACTACTACTAACTACTACTACTACTAACAATTTGTACTACGACTACTACTACTACTATTACTGCTACTAACTAGTACAACTGCTACTACTATACTAACTAATACTACACCACTACTAACTACCTCACTATTACAACTACTACTACTACTACCTACTAAACAACTCTACGACTACTACTGTTAATGGCTACTATTCACTCACTAACTCACAACTACTACTCAGACTAACTTACTGCTAAAACTGCTACTACTACTAACCACTACGACAACTACTACTACTGCTAACTACTACTCACTACTACTACTGCTACCACTGCTGCAACTAACTACTACTACGCTACGAACTACTACTACTACTACTACTACTACTACTACTACTACTACTTCTCTACTACTACTATCAACAACAACTACTACTACTACTACTTCTACTACTACTACTACTACTACTACTACTACTGCTACTCCTGCTGCTGCTGCTGCTACTACTACTACTACTGCTACTACTGCTACTACTACTACTACTGCTACTACCACTACCAGGTCTCCCCTTCCCGCATGTCTCGCTGAGTTCGTGCTATGCTGGGTCTTTCGGATAATCCCAGAGTGCAATTGTGTACGCTCGCATGCTGTGTCTTGCGTCCGCCCCACCTAGGTCTTCCGTCCTTGCGCTCGCCTTTTCCCCACGTTTCCGAACCCGTTGACCGCGAAAGCCTTCATTTCAACACTCTCTCCACGCGCTTCTGTCTTCTGAATGCTTTAGCCTCGCCGTCCTTGCCGCCGCCGTCGTCTTCGTTCCCGCGTTCCCCTCTGATCTGCAGCAGGAGGACGTAGATGGTGTCGAGAAGTGGGTTGTCAGGGCGATCTCCGAAGGGGTGGTCGATGGCCGCATCGACCAGCTTAATTCCAAGGCTGACTCCTCCGCGCCTCTTCGCTATTGTCGTCTTCGTGCGCGCGCTCCTTGACTATACGGGTCCATCGGTCTTTGTGTTTCACCGTCTTTTCCTCGTGAGCAGTTGTTCTTCTCTTTGTTAAACAGGAGTTTTACGAGACAGACCTCCAGAAGTCGTAGTGACTGAGCAGTCCCGTCTGAGATGGGGTGTTGTGGGACTGACGAGCCTGAGAGAGCATGCCATACGATAATGACGCCAGAGTTGTATGCATCCTGCACATGTGTCCCGCAGGAGGGGGGCGGTCAAGTATGATGTGTCTGGCGCATGGAGGGTGATCGTAGCGAACAAACAAAGTTCCCTGACTACCACTTGCGCCGTGGACATGCCTTGTTTGCAGACAGCGGCTCGTAAGTACGTTTCAGGCGCGGAATGTTTCATATGGCAATCACGCTTGCACACGCTTCGCTGTGGTGGGTTGAGTCGAAAAGTCGTTCGTATGTAGACATTCGGCGCTAATGGTTCCACTCCTTTGTCAGACACGTAAAACAGCGTTGGTGATCTGCTTAGGCAAGGGAGATGGCGGTACGCGGAACGCCGAATGAACAATTCTTCATAGTTCTGAGCCCAATGTGCATGCGATTGTCTGTAGGCGGGAACTTTGAGCACTAACACAGGGGAGTTCAGTCATCAGTTGTGCAGTGATGCCACCTTGGCAGCCAGCCTTGAGGATCTCGAGGCGGTGGCGAACTCCGCATGCGAATCGCACGCGCGCGCCACCCCACCGTAAGCTGGTAGTCACGCAGTGACCATGTATGTGTACACATTGACATGCTGGGGTCGGTATATCCATGCTGGTCGACTTTCGAAATGGCCTAGAGCGCGGCCAGAGCGCGGCCAGGCCATCGGACTATGTGTTCCTCCAGCTAATGCGGAAACCCTTCGGGGAGCACGCGGGGGACCACGACGATATGAGATGAGATGAGACCAGTCGCGAAGCGAGTCTATACAAGTTAATGGCCACGCGTCGCCTTCTCAGACTTGCTGAGAACCTTAGGCCATAGTCCATGCGAAATGCGGTCGAGATACTCTCTCCGCGTCTTGGTGAGAGGTCTGGGTGGGTCATCCTTGGTGCAGCATGTTCCTGCCAGGCCGCGGAGCTGAAGGCGGCTATAGCACCCGCACGACCCACAAAACGAGAGAGACAGACCCTCATGGTAAACCATAATGTGGGAATTATGGACCTCCCCCCCAGCAAGGTAGAACGTCCGACCCCGAGGCACCCTGAACGAAGTCACGGAAATCCTCTCACGCTCAAAGCACTTAGACGTCAACAATTCAGTTTTGCCAGCATCTGTAACAGGGCGACGACATCTAGAGCAGCGTTCACCACACTCCATGAGGACGTGGCTAGAGTTGGAAAGAGCCACAGCCGCAGTATGCGGGGGAGGAGCAACGGCAGCAGCAGCAGCAGGGCGCCGATTTGTTTCCCCTCACTCTTGATGGACTCGAGTGTAGCACGAAACAGTCTTTCACGAACGAGCCGAACCTCAGCCTCTGCCCGCAAAAGCCTGGTACTTTCAGGCGGATTGACTGCAAAGAGCTCAGCGGCCTCCCCAGCTAGCGAGTCAACAAACACATTCCCAGCGACCGAATGACTCGGAACAGTCTGGCTACGGGCTTGGGCGGCATCGATGTGGGAAGGTACGTTGAGCACTGCGATGTCACCAGGATAACGATCCGTCGCCTGCATGACAGTTCCGATTCTCCTCCACAAGTCAGCACTGGGGCCTCGCAGGGCTTCAACGAGCTTGTCCCAGAACCCACTATACACTTCTTCATTACCAGTGACAAAGGCCACAGGGCCCCTGGAGAATTCCAATGCACAATTCAAGCAATACAATTGACCCCTAGTAACAGACTGGTGCCGCCCAGGGAGCGGCCCGTACAAACATCTCGGCCCCGTCAAAAGATCAGGCCTGGAAGAAGCGATGCAAGCACCGACACGCCCGAGGCTAGTGTCCTGGGAATCCTGGCCCCCGAGGCGTCCCACAGTAGCAAGGGGGCCTCTGGGGAGCCAAAGCCTGAATACGTGGCGCCTAGATCGTCCTTCTCGTGACTACGAAGCCAACGAGCCTCTGAATCGTGTGTGACAAAGAAGAAGAGGGTGCGAGGGATAACACAGGGCGTGCGGGCCTCTTGGCCTGTTTTGAGGCCCCCTGGGCTCCGCAAGTATCTCGCGACAGCATGCGGGGAGCCTCTGGAGAGCCGCGGCACGTGTTGAAGAACATGGCAATCGTGGGTATATTTTTTGGGTAAAAGAAACCTCATTCATTCAGGAGTGAGGACGGCGATCTCAACGGGACCTGAGGACACTCCACTTCGTGTCTCAGGGCACGGTGAATGATAGATGTGTATGCACTGGACTTGTGTGCGTTTGTCAGAGTCAGCGAGCTCCGAATGTGTGCTGCCAACGGAGACCGCAAGCACGCATTGTACGGCACAGGTGAGTTGGGGTTGCAAGAGCAATGCCCAAACGGCGTGTGCGACGTTGAAGTCCAGCCACTTCAGAGTCGCAAATACGGATTATTTGGCAAGCAGCGGTGCAAATAGTGCGATGGTGAGCTACGCGGTAGAAAGTGTGGATTCTACGGAACTGGCGGTCGGCATTTGTCTTGGCGGTTCCTTGGGAGATCCGTGCTGGGCGCAGGCTGTAGGTGTGTATTTGGCCAGCGCGATGGTATGTGTGGAAGCACGTGGAGCCGATCGGTTCTGTCTTTCGGGGGGGCGGCGATGATGGGGGGAGGGTGGGGACCTGCGCCCGTGACGATGTTGTCGAACAGCGATTACATTGTGTTCATGCTTATTGTTGCCCGCATCGGGTTGACCCTTGTGATGTTGTATGAAGTGGTTCGGACCTCTTCAGCATTGCTGGATATTTCCGTATCGGCACGTTTAGATCTGCATTGATGAAGATGCCGTGGTGGTGTTGACGAGGGGACTGGATGGGGCTGGCGGGTGTGCTCGTCTTGCGCCAGACCGTCACCTCGTTGTGTCATTCTTGCCCGTTCTGGTGTTCGTTGCCACGGGGCCGTGCCACTCACACGAGAGGTGCTTGTGAAGACATCTTTCCAGCGCCAGTTTGCGAAGGACTGCTTCAGCCGCTCCGACTGCTGCTCTCTGCAGTCAAGTTAGGGTGGCGGATGTTTGGGACACCTTCTATTTCGCTTCCACAGCTGGCTGGCCTGAGTTGCAGGAATGATTGTGTACCCGTGTGACTTGGGGACATGACTAGTGCGCGTGAGTCTCCCGTACAAGTCATGGATTTCCCACTCGAGCTTTCCTGACGGCGTTCCTTTTCGGAGTGCAGCGCTGATATGCGTCGTGTTGTCGTCCAGCAGAGATGGTCGAGATGCGTCGGCGAGATCTTGAAACGCGGTGATCGGTTGTGAGGTCTCCAGGGTTGACGCTTCGCGCTGGCATGGATGCCAATGCAGTCACAGCCATGGGGCCAGTCGCCGACCTCGGATGCGAGGTCGGCGCCGGAAGCTTCGAGCGTGCCCTCTGCCGCTTGCACCATCCGCGGTAGCGAAGGCTCGAAGCGTCAGACCTCGTTTCTCCTGCCCCCTCTCCTTCCGCACGCCTCTCCGTCTATTCTCCCTGGCCTCCCTCGTCTCATCCTTTCTCTCGCCTTCCTCTCCCTCCTCCCTGCGGCAAATCGGCCTCGACTGACCCGCGTCAGCTCACTGGGGAGTGCAAGCCCTAAGGAGAGAGGGGACGCGAGAGCAGGGCGAGGATCCGCCAGGGCAGGCATTTGGCCATCGAGGGCCGTCTGCCGCAGCAGCTGAAGAGGAGCTGTCCAGGGTGCGGTGGCGTAGGGCCCGTCCTGGAGCGCTCCTCTCTGGAGCGATGCCGCACGGGGCTCCTACTGCGACGACCGGGACGCGGAGGAGGAGGAGGAGGAGGAGGAGGAGGAGGAGGAGGAGGAGGAGGAGGAGGAG